GCGTCCATATCTTCTTCCAGAAAACCGTTTCGCAGATATGAAAGACAGATTTGAGTTTCCCATACCCAACCTGTTATTATGGAATATATCTTGTTTTGAATGGCCACTTCGAGTAAAAAGCATTCCCTTGTAAGCGCAGGTGAGATGGTAAACAGGAATCAAGTGTTTGGAAAAAAAGGTGAGGAAAGCTGAAGATGACAATTCTAACTTGGTCTTAAAAGCCCGCCAAAACCAATTTCTTAAAATAAGCAATACCCCTACTCATTTTGCGCTTGATTAAATAAAATCATGTGGACAGAAGAGTATGTAATCGTAATAAAATTAACTAAATCCTTCCGTACCGTCCTGCCGAATGTCCTAAAAGCTTACAAAGTTTGCTGAATCTTTAGCATGCAATTATACTATCTAACGAGAAAATTTAGAGTATGAAATGAGAATATGGATTGGGATTGCTCTACAAATTCATTTAGTGTTTTTGGCGCATCCAAGCAGCGTAAACGGAATGTATTTACAAGCGTTGCCTATACACCTTATGCTTTTTCGATAGGAGTCAACTATGCAAATAATTATAATATTGCAATGTTCTGTCTTTTTTGAATAACTGAAAGCAGGTATACATCAATGTGCATTGGCATACAATTCAATTTATTGCTATTTATTGATTAACATTTATTTTCATAAATTCAAAAGGAGCTTCATTGTCTACTGAAAGTTATGTCATTTTAGGCAACCGGTACCATTCGCACTATGGTTTTGCCGTTGAGTTCTCCAGTGTATTCAATTATCATTTTATCATCCTTACCGACGCCCGGCTGAATGTAATCTATTTCATACTTGTCAAGATATACATAAACCATCGTACTAACCTTCCTAGTAATAATCAAGCTTATATGACCCCTACCAGCTATTTCACCGCTTACTTGTCCGGGATCAATGGAAAAGCATGAATCCGGGTTTTCAATGGTTATCTGAAAAGTAATGTATCCAAGTTGATTCATCTCAGAGTTCACATATTGACGAGCCTTGTAGTTGAGCTTTCGATCGCTGAGATTACTCATCCAATGTCTTGTCACTCCTGATTTGATGAGCAGCGGTAACCTTGGATTCTGAAAGCATATGATGCCGTCATCAGGCATTTTCGCATAAAAATGAAGCAGCAGTAGTATGAAGTTTCTTTTATTTGGCTGGTTATCAATAATTGTTCAATAAAATTTGTGATTACCCTGTTTGTATTTTATTTAAACTTTGAGGCATCATTAAATCGGCCGGGTCTCCGGCAAAAAAAATTGGAAGCGGTAGTTTCTGTCTGCATGTTGCTTTATTGTAGATTCTCATTTGCTTTGCTGTTCCACTGAGTTTTCACAACTATCTTTCCTTTTTATACCACTCCGCATCTCCACATCTTTTTCTAAACACTATTGATTGCACATTCAACGTTAACAAGTAAGACAAATGCTTGTTTGTCTACTGCATAACTAAAACTACACCGTATCTAAAGTAGTTATGGATTTGGTCCACTTGAACGTATTCAAGAACGGAGGGTTGCTCATTAGAGCTGACTAATATATAAAGCATTTGATAGAGGAAGTATCTAGCCTGGCAAGCGAATATATCTATTAATTAAACTGATGTTTCTGAACGATATACTTTCCAGGAAGAGCAGAAGGGCTGGAATTCGAAAAATATGCAGTAAGAAGATGGTCAAAGCGATGCACATTTGTCTTTAAGCTACACTTCTTCACTTGGGCTCGTTACACCAGTACTACCTCGAAATCTACATTCTACTGCTCCAACTCTGCAAAAGGCGAACCATCACAAAACGTTTTTGACAAAACTTTCTTGCTTCCATAAATTTGTCAGCACACTTGGTTGCCTAGTCTGAGTAATTTTCTAGAATTACGGTTAACGGTCGGAACAATGACACATAAGCCAGGTTTGGCTCAAAGCAGACCACAGAGTACTTTTTGACAAGGGCATAAATGATTTGTAGGCCTTGAAAGAAGTGATGATATCGCCTACTAGAAGAAGAGTCCATTCCAGAAGATTTGGAGTCTAGAGCTTGCCAGAGATGATCCTGCAAATAATGTTTGGAGCAACCATTTAAAACACATAAAAGTTGCGGAAAAAAGAAGTTATTGAAAACTTGCGGAAATGGTTAATATCCTGTGAATTACTGTGAATTAAGTACTGAATGTGACGGAATTACCTAGGCCGCATGCATGAACATCTGAAAGGAAAAAAGGAGGGGGAGGGAGGAATGGGGGGCTTCAACATTCTTATTGTGAAAAAAGCGGTCATAATTGAGATTGAACTCTAGGTTCCTTTTCAGATCCCATATGATTTCCCCTTTGCTTTCTGACAAAAAACAAATTCCAGCTTGCCCTCCAGAGCTGCCGCCGAGGTCTGACTGAGGTGTTACGTTGTGCTTTCGCCAATGCCAACTATAACCCATCTAGATAGAAGACTGTTGAAAGCTTTAAATACATTGCGCCTTTGCTCAACCAGTCTAAAGCACATTTTTTGAACGGGAAAACAAAGCACATATCGTGCGATTCTGTCAGAAGTCGAGGAAGTCATCAATCCAGGTTTTTTGGATAGCCATTACGTTTCGGCGAACATTGCAAAATATCACTGGAGAGTAATTTATGACCACAAAATTGTGGGAGTTTAAAAGGTGATCGATACAATTATGGGTTACAAATTTCTTTTCGCATGTTGTCAGCTTAATCTATCTCCGCCTACTTTGAGGATAGAACTTGATAATTAGAAGAGTGAACACGAAGCTTGCAAGAGAAACGTTAGGAAAAGTTTTTAGCAGCGGGATTTGGAATAATATGGAATATGTGCTTATAAAATACACTGCTATGTACAATAATAAATAAAATCGTCCTAAGTGTCTTCTTATTTAAATGTTTCGTCCTTAAAGCCGCTCCCTGGTACCGATTGTTAAAGCGAGTAAAGCTTCAAGAAGTTCAGATCAGAATTAATCGTAGTTTATATCGCATATTTCACACAATATGCTTTACTTGTCTTGCAATGCACGTAGCAACTACAATACCGTCGC